ATTTTAGCTTATATTACTACCTCAAAATACTTATTCAAATTCATCCTGCTGCATCATTATATTCTACCATGTTGTTGCTCAGTCTCTCTCTTTAGGACATTGTAAATATTTTAATAAATAATTTTTTCACTTTTTGGTACCTTTCGTTCGGTGTACCCTTATTGCCTGCTTTTTTGTATTTTCTTGTTGGTTTGTTCTTTGATTTTTTTTAGCGAGTCAAATCGGTTCTTCTCATTCTAAGCATTTCTATGCCCTGTTAACCCTGTGTTCACCATATGACAAATAAACACAACTTGAACTTGAAGTCGAGGGTTAAATGAGATACAGTATTTGTTTGAATCTGACAAAAAAAAATTGCAACAATTTATTTCGTTAAAAACTTTTTTTTTTAATCTGTATGCTGTAAATTGAGGGATACAGAGAGTTTCTTCATGAAGTCTCTTTAATGGACGTTGTTTTTTTTTGCAGTAGATGTTGGTTAATGTTTGCTGCAGATGTGCTTCATATGTTTACGAGAGAAGATTTTAGTCCGATCCTTGTATTCTGTCATTAATCAGCTTTTATTTTAAAAAGAGAAACATTTACTCTTGTTCATTGTAAGTCCAACTACGTCTACTGGTTTATATGTTTGTGTCAAGTTGATAAAAATGGTTTTGGTTGTGTCATACGTTTCCATCTGGCACATTGTTTTGTAGATTATATGAAATATTCTTGGTGCTGTTTTTGTCTCAAACTTTGGTGTAAATCCTAATCCTTAAATCTGGCCTTGTGGCCTAAACTTCATCCCTTCTAACTGTTTTGATTGGAAACGTTTAAAGACTTATTTAAAATGTTATCGTCACCCTACATGTAACAGTTTTAACCCAGCTCTGTGGGGATACAGATGCACATGCAGATGTTACATCTTTACACAAAAGTCAGGATGAATTGTGGATGAAATCCTGTTGACAGAAATAATCTGACATTCACAAGTTTATATTTATAGACTGCCACTTCAAAATGCCAATAAACTTTTTTTAAATTAACGTTGAAATCTTAATGAATGCATCAAAATGTATCAAAGATTCAATTTTTTAAATTATTATTTGTGCCTTCAGTGTCATCTTGTGTAACTAATAGTTTAACTCTTTAAATATTTGTTTGTGCAGGCCACATGAGACTGTGGTGCCTCTGGAAGATCCAATCGTTACCGAAGTGACACTGACGCTTCAGGAATGGGCTTTACTGTGGAAGCAGCTCTACGTGGTAAGAATCGAGCCGTACGGCATTTATTATTTATTAACACGTTCAAGAGATGACACTTATCAGGATAAAAAGCTTTTACGAGCTGTTCAGTCTCTTTTTGTAAAGGTTAAAATATATCAAATTAAACTCGATATTTAATGAAATGTCTTTGATTCATCGGAGATTCACACTTTTTATACATTCAAGCCATTTTTGTCTTTTTTCTAGAAGCAAGTTGTCGTTTCTGTCCAGTCTGACTCAACGATTGTGGTGATTGGTTTTAATGCATTTCACAATCCACTTCATTACAGCGGAACTCTAATCTGGTTTCATTTTTATTCTGTAGTTGGAACTGTTACTGGTCGTCCTTCAGCTGCTGGATGTTAAAGATATTTTGTGGTTTGGGACGTCAGCGTGGGTTGAAATGTAGGAAGTTGTCATTTTCACAAAGATTTATGCAGTAAATTTGCCTTAAAATGTTTTTCTAGAGTTAAAGTTGCTGTTTGTTACGTTTGTTTGATGGTGCTGAGCTTCTAGTTTTAACGTTTGACGATTTCCCTGCCACCCTTTAAGCTGTAAATGTGCACGTTTGTACTTTGTAAGGCTTTCAAACACAAGATGTTCAGCCGACGACACCGAGTCTAACTCTGAGCTCTTTTTATAACCGGTGTGTAAACTTCATGCGACTGTTTCTTCTTTCCTCTGTGGTTTGATGAGTTTAAGCTTTGAAATAGTCCAAAAACAGTTAGAAACGTTCTCCTTCATAAAAACTGATCACATTAATTAAAAACTTGAGTCTTGGCGACTCAAAATTTCAAGAGAAAAGTTGAATTTTCTGTTGCAGTTTCAATGAATTCTGTGTTTACAACAAAGTGATGCTTTCAAAGGCTTTTTTCTGAAAACCACAGCCTGTTGTGTGCACAGTTTGCAAAGCTGTATTCTTGTCGGCGCACATTACCGTAATTTCTAGACTATCGAGCGCACCTGAATATAAGCAGCACCCACTAAATAAAAAAAAAAATCATAATTTTGCACACATATAGGCCGCACTTGTCTATAAGCCGTGTGTGTCCACGTTTTAACGAGATATTTGCACAGAAAGATTTTGTGTTAACTTTTAATTAAATATGTACAGGTAACACACATATAGTATTTTTTTCTGAACAGTGTATGTAACAGCTGGTTAAAAACAACACAGTAGCCTAACAGGAAGTCGTTGTTTGCAATCTTCACCTTCCTCCTGTGCAAGCTTGTGTTGTCCTCCATCACGCAGCTGCCTGCTGCATCCCACAGAGCTCCGAGTGCCATTTTAAATGCACGATTCACACTTATTTCAAGCGGCTGCAAATACTTCATTGTGCCCTAAAGGGGGAAGTTTCCCTGGGAGGGGAGGAGAGATTCTCTCCTGCTCTCCCGATTCATTGGTCCACGTTGACCTGCTCAGTAATTTAACTGGTCAGACTTTTTTAAACCTTTATTTATACAGGTAGTCTCATTGAGTCACGAGGACCCACCCCCAGGAGAGAGACATGTATTGGGCAGCTATGTGAGTGCCCGGGTGTGACGAGGCTAAATGTTTTGGTGGCTCGTTAGACCATCCCCCCCCCCAAAAAAAAAAAAATCCATAAATTAGCCACGTCATTGTATAAGCCGGGGGATTCAAAGTATGTGAAAAAAGTAGCGACTTATAGTCCAGAAATTACGGTATTTGCATTATAGTTGCCCAACATTGCCCACAGTGTACCCGTCTCAGTCCGCTTTGGCATCCGCCCACACATTTATAATTTAATCTCTTCAAGTAAACATTTGAAAGGCTGATAGACACACTGGGGCAAGTTTAAAATAAATAAAAAAAAATCATCATCGGATTGTTTTTAGACACTAACCAGTTTACTGACAGAGCTCTAGTGCAGGTGTAATACAGCTCTAATGTTCTTGAGACAAGTTTAAGATATTTTGGGCAAATAAAAATGTCAACAGCAGTTTTGAACATGTTCAAAGTCAAGCATCTGCAACTTATGTATTAAAATTGAAAACTCCTTTTGAGGACTCCCTCATGAACATTGTTTTTCAACTAATCGTAACCCGGGAAGAAGCTAGGTTTCTGAAGAGTCTGTTTCTAATAAAACCTGTTCTCATACTCAGTTGATGCTGCCGGGGCAACACCGTGCTGGCTCTGCAGTTTGAGTAACGTCGCAGAGAAGCTCAGTGGCTTGAGTGATTTTTTTCTAAATACTCATCTCTTATGTGATTATGTTTGATGATATTGTTTGATCAAGATCGTAGTTGCTGCTCAGAGCGTTTCAGAAACAGTTTTAGTCTGAAAACAGAAAACGATGGACGAGAGCAGCTTTGTGGGCAAATCGACTGAATTGTGCCTTAGAAGTGAAAAAAGGCAAACAAGTTGTAAAATAAAACTGAGACGAGCGCAGATTCAACCCAAAGGTGTCGTGCTGTGAACGCATATTGTCTCAGTTATACTGTAACACACAGACTTGAGAAACTTGACGATAGTTTTGATATTTGTGGAATAAAAAAAAACAAAATCTCCTGCTATTGTTGCACAAAATGAACGTTTTCTAACAGAACTAACCGTTATTTGTTCACTTCAATTCAGTTTATTTATACAGCGCCGAGTCACAAAGAAGTCATCTCAGGGCACTGAACAGAAACATTCATATGTAAAAATAATTTAACTTCATTTATCTGAGGAGCAGACTGCTTAGAGTTTAACTCAATCACAGAACTCTCATCGTGAGCGAGCACGAAGGCGACAGTGGAGAGGAAAAAGTCCAGCAGAACCAGGCTCAGGGCAAGCGACCATCTGCTTTGATTGGCTGGGTTTGAGAGGAACAGATACACAATGGCAGGTCGAGAATCACATTTAATTTTAACAATTTACTTAAGGAAATGAGGTCATTTTGTCCTCTAGTAGTCCAAGTTTAAGGCAACATAACGAGCTGTTGTTGTGAAGTACCAGAACTCGTTTTGTAACTTGAAGTCTTTGTTACTGAGCAACCTGTAAAAGATTCAGTAACTTTGACGTTTGCATTACCACTCCTCTTATTTGACTTGTTTGTAGGCCGTCTTGTGTTTTTTAGATTATTATTCAAGTGTGATTTCATTAAAAATCCATCTGCAGCTAAATGCACAAAGGAGAGTTTTTGTGCAGCCTTGAAGCCTTATTGAAATCTAAATTTGTCATCGTTCCTCCTCTTCTTTCTCTGCTCTGTGGGCTGGTTTCATCACTCATCTTCCTCATGTCCTGCCTTTTCTGTCACTTTGTGCTTTCATTCAAAGTTAACTGACTTTTGTCTTTCCGCTCTGCCACAGTTTAAGAGATGAAAGACCAAATTGTTGTTGTCAGGGCCCATGTGACATATTTCTCTATTTCCATCCTGTCAGAACTCACGTTAGTTGAGTCTGGTTGAGCTGCTGGAAGTCCAGCGTTGGGATGTGGGAGCTCCGTGTGCAGACGATACAGTCTGAGCACACAAGTAGAGAAGAAATATTAAAAATGAACTTAAACTGGAGAAGATGCAGTGTGAACATTTACTGCAGAAGAACTTGCTGAAAAACAACTGAAATGAGCTAAAAACATGCTGAAATGGAAGAACAAGCCTAAAGCAGCAGAAGAAAGCAGAAAGAACACATATTTTCTGAATTAGGTTTAAATAAGCAGAAATGAGCACAAATTTAGGAAATTAGCTAAAATAGCTGAAAAGTAGCTTAAAATTCAGAAAGAAGAATACCAGAAATAAGCAGAAGGAGCTGAAACGAGTAAAAAAAAAAAGGGTGGAATTAGTTGAAATAGCAGAAACTAGCAGGAAAAAAGCTGAAATGAGCATAACAAGCTGAAATTAACATAAAGAAGTTAAGGCTAAATAAAAAAAAATTAAAAATTAGCCTGAAAGTAGCAGAAATTGCCACAAAAACTTGAATATATCTGCAAACATCTGGAATTAGCTAAAAAATAAATGCTAAAAAAAGGTAGCTGAAAAGGTAGAAAAAGCTTAAATTAGCATAAAAAGCAGAAAGAACATGTTTGCTCAATTTCAGCCGAAAGATGCAGCAGACAAAAAAGGGAATTATTTGTAAGAAAAAAGCTGAAATTAGAAAAAAAAAAACCAGCTGAAAAATAGCTGAAAGGCAGAAAGAAGATGAAATTACAAGAAGGAAGTGGAGAAAGCACATTTTTTGCTGAATAAAGCTGAAAAGTTTAAACAAGTACAAAAATGTAAAATTAGCTCAAAAAGCTTAAATTAGCATAAAACAGCTAAATAATAGTTTGTGTCATAGAAAAAGCTGAAACTTGCAGAAATCTTCTGAAAGGAGCATAGCAAGCTGAAATTAACAGAAAGACTTTAGAAGAAGCACAAAATGTTGTAGTTAGCAGAAAGAATCTGAAAGGAGCACAAAACAGCTGAAAAAAACAGCTGAAATTAGCTGAAAATAGTCAATTTATTTATTTATTTTTTATTGTGCAAGGAAGCTGAAAGAAGCTGAACCAGAGTAAAATGTGAAAGGAGCAGTAAAAGGTTGTAAACAGATTGAAAGATATGAAGGATGGAAGATGAGCTCAATTCATTTTCTATGAGAAAAAGTAGCAGAAAAGGCTAAATACTTGAAAAAGCTGAAGTTGCACCAATACCAAATGTCATAGAACCCTTCTCCTGAAAGAGCTGAACGACTGATTTATGATTTGTTGAAATAGTTTGAAAACTGCGGGATGAGAATCACACTGAAAAATGTACGGAAGAAAAATGGATCACAATAGAATGAATGCTTCATGAACATTCACACAAAAATCAAGAAAGATGAGGATCGAAGGATGCTGTCCTACATTTATAAACATATAAAGATAATCTGGTGTTTTGCAAAAGGTAAAGATGCTTCAGATCATTTAATTTCTTTTTCCATGTGTTTGTTACTGTAAGAATATGATATTTTCTATTGCAAGAAGAGGATAAACACACTTTGAAAAGTGTCATTTGACAACAAGGCTGGTGTTGTCATTGTGG